CACCCTTCTTGCATCTGCCTGGGACTAGTCCGTCCCGATGCTTCTCACCACGTGACTCCCCTGAGGGCCCTGGAGAGCTGGGGAGGGGCGTGAGGGGCCCAATGGTTCTGACACCAGCCCCACCCTGCAGTCGGTGCCCATCATCTCGCACTCCCGCTGGCTGCTGAAGCAGGGTGAGCTGCAGCAGATGTCAGGCCCTAAGACATCCCGAACCCTGCGGACCAAGAAACTCTTCCGGGAAATTTACCTCTTCCTCTTCAATGACCTGCTGGTGATCTGCCGGCAGATTCCTGGGTCAGCAGCTCCGGTTGGGAGATGGTTTGTCTGTGGCCTGGGGTGGGCAGAGAGCTCAGGTTTCAGGTCAGGTTTAAAGGTCTGCTCTGTTCTTGTCCAGCCTTAGGCTTCTGGCCAAGTCAGCATAAGCCCCCCAAGCCTATTTCCCCTCCTGCCAAATGGGTGTTTACTCTTAAGGAGATGGAGAGCCCAGGGCCGCGCCTGACACGTAGTGAGGGCTCAGCGGAGCGGCGGCTGCAGGGTGACTTGTGCTGACCCCTTGTCACTGTCCACGGCATGGGAGCTAGTGGTTTGAGGCTGAGGGAGACAGGAATTCAGGCAGGGGGCTTCCAGAAGGATGTGAGAAGTGGCCAGGACGGTGGGACCAGCAGGACTATGGGGGGCTCCCCCAGGACCCTCAAGCCTCCTTGGGACTGACATGCCCTCCCTGCCACCTGTGGTCTCCAGAGACAAGTACCAGGTGTTTGACTCAGCCTCACGGGGCCTGCTCCGGGTAGAGGAGCTGGAGGACCAGGGCCAGACGCTGGCTAACGTGTTCATCCTGCGGCTGCTTGAGAATGCAGATGACCGGGAGGCCACCTACATGCTGAAGGCGTCCTCCCAGTGAGTGCCTGGAGCTGCCCGCCCTGCCCTGATGCCCGCATTATGGAGCCTCCTTCCCAGGTGGAGCAAGGCTCAAGGCTCAGCACGTGTGCAGGGCCCATTCAGCCCACCCAGCTCCCATCCTTCCTACCCCCAGGCCCGAGGGGAGGGTTTCCGTCCACTGTTAGTGTCAGGTGTGGTGCCACTGGGGGTAGCTGCCCGATGCTGGGAGTGTGCACATGTGTTCCCTCTGGGCCTCTCTTTTCTGGTGGGATGTAGGACCTGTGGCTGGGCTGACCAGTGAGCTGTCACTGTGTGGCCTCAGGCCCATCTCATCACCTCTCCAAGCAGCCAGGTGACCAGCCCTGCAGCCCTCCCCGCTGTCCACCCTCCCCCACCCCAGCCCACAGGCCACCCCGCCCATCTCGGTCCAGTGTCCCTGGCCCAGGTGGGGATGACAACAGCCTTTCCAAATTCCACGTCTGGGAGACTCAGCTTCAGGGCCACCGGCCACCGTTGGCTCTTCTGTGGGTTGTCAGGGTGTCTCGGAGGGCTCAGCCTCCTTGACTGACTTTACAGCATGCTGGGAGATTCTGTAGGGCTCCCCGCATGCCTGTCCACTGGACTCTGGGCACTGCCCAGCTGTCCTGCCATCGCCCCAGGTGAGGCTCAGGACTGAGGCTGGCCTGCTGGATGCCTGGCGCCACACCTCAGGTGGGCCACTGCTCTGTGGCTTTGGCATTTGTCCTCTCCCCCATCCCAGGAGCGAGATGAAGCGTTGGATGACCTCACTAGCCCCCAACCGGAGAACCAAGTTTGTTTCCTTCACTTCCCGGCTGCTGGGTAAGTGACCCTCTGGGAAGAGGTGCCTGCGGGGTGGGCAGGTGAGGGGCAGGTGCTGCACACCACTGAGAGGTGCTCCCCAACCAGCCTCCCAGAGGCTGCGTGGCCTCCAGGAAGCCCACTTCAACTGCCCAGTGGTCCTGTACCCCGACGGCAAGCTTGGTACCTGGAGGACACAAGCATCCCTAAGCTCCGCAAATGTTTGGATGGTAAATGAAGAGATAGAAGTCTCTGGGGGCGACAAATCCAGCTATCTGATAGAGAAGCTACCACAAGGAAACCAAGAGGAATTTGGGCCCAGAAGGCAAACGCCAGTGTTTTTCAGGGTGGCTGAAAACCTTATAAAATATGAAAGGACACAAATCCAGCTATCTGATAGAGAAGCTACTTTCCCTGACCTTGCTCACCAAGTCCTGAGCATCCCAGAACTGCTCCCAGAGCCCCATCCCAGGCCCGAGAAGCCCTTCTGTAGGCTAGCATGGACCCCAGGGGCCTGTTCGTCCCTTTCACCAGGTCCTGTGTTTTCAGAGCCCCTGACTATTTTAATCACATTTTCTTTGGAGTCGGACCTCTGCCTCGCATGAAGTCTGCCATGCTCTTTCAGATGCACCTGTGCTGCTGACCCTGGGGTCCAGGGTTTGCTGGGTAGGTCAGGGCAAGCAATGTGGTGACGAGGATGTGCCAGCTCCCTCTCCCGTCCCTTCAGACTGCCCCCAGGTCCAGTGTGTACACCCGTACGTGGCCCAACAGCCGGATGAGCTGACGCTGGAGCTGGCTGACATCCTCAACATCCTGGACAAGACCGAAGACGGTGAGGCCTGGGGCTGGGTGCCTCTCTTGCTCGTGGCCCCCAGGAGCTCTGCGTCACCTGAGGGATGAGGAGGGGGCATCTGTGCCCCCCGTGGAGCAGCAGGTACCCGAGCGAGCCAATGGGCAGGCAGAGCCCAGGGTGCTGCCCGAGACCATTCCACCTGGGCGTCCACCATCCTGGATTCCTGGGCCTTCCTTAGAGCAGGGAAAGCACTTCTCACAGTGCCTCTATGTCCCTTTTCCGCACTTAGCACCAGACCCAAACCGAGAGCCCAGCTCCAGGGCCCCTTCTCGTGCAGCCTGGCCATGGCCCACCCATCACAGTGGGAGGGAAAAGGGCCGTGAACTCCCTGGCCCTGACCCTGACCCTGACCTTGACCCTGTGCTTGCAACAAGCTTCCAGGTAAGCCTGTAACCAACAGGCTCAGAGTCCCATGTGGGCCAAGAAGATACCCACCCAGCTCCCACCCAGCCCTGCTGATGCCATCAGGGCCACTTGAGGGTTGCTCCCCTCTCCTGAGAAATTGAGCCCTTAGTTCTCCATCAGTTGATCCTAATTAAACCCCAAAGTATAGGAAGCACCTCCCTGCCCCAGTTCTTCCTCCCTTTTGAAAGCTTGGCCAGAAGGTCTCAAGCTGGTGACCTCCAGAGGAGGCCATTTCTACTCTCTCCAAATCCCAGGGGCCCACCTGCCCTTCCTGCAGAATACAAACAGGCTACATTCCCCCCCACCTGGCTGCAGGGGAGGCACCCAGGCTGTCAGGGCCTGTGCTGTGGTTCCCCCCACTGATCAGGCCCTAGGCAGGCAGTGATCTCTGGGGGAGGGAGAGAGTGCCAGGGCTGTGGGCCAGTGCTGCCATGGGCCAGTCCATGACAGCCACCCTCAGCTGACCACCTGGGCCTCAGGAAGCTGAGGCTCTGAGAGGGGTTGCCCAACGAGAGGCTGATGGTGGTGTTCCAGGCCAGATAACCAAGTGGTCAGCTCCCACTGGCCCCTCAGATGCCTCCTGCTTCTGGGGGCAGCCCTTGGGATCTCCTGACCCAGTGCTGGGCAGCCTAGGACAGCTGAGAGTTCAGAATGGGTTCCCAGTGCATGGAGACAATGGGCCAACACATTTGGAATGGTCAGGAACAGGTCAGTACACTTGGGACACACCATGGCACCCGGGAGGACATCAGGGAAATGCCTCCCCAGCCTAGTGGGGACAAACGCAACCTGAGTGTCTTCAGCAGGAACAGCTAGAAAGGCAGGACACCTCTGGAAAGGCCGCTGGTCTCCTGTATATCCCTTGCCTCTGCTCCCCACACAGATGGGAGCCCTGGCCAGGAGGGAGGCTCAGCCCTCCCCCCTACAGAAGCTTCTGACCACCCCCTTCCTACACAGGGTGGATCTTTGGCGAGCGTCTGCATGACCAGGAGAGAGGCTGGTTCCCCAGCTCCATGACTGAGGAGATCCTGAATCCCAAGATCCGGTCCCAGAACCTCAAGGAATGTTTCCGTGTCCATAAGATGGATGACCCTCAGCGCAGCCAGAATAAGGACCGCAGGAAGCTGGGCAGCCGAAATCGGCAATGACCCTCCAACCCGGGTCACCAGCCTGGCAGAGGGATGTGGGCAGGCAGGAGTGGGGACTGGCAGGCAGACCCCACGGGATTGGGGCAGGGGGGGGGCTCTGAGGAAGGCCAGCACCTCCAGGGACAGCAGGGTGTAGCCCAGAGTCCTTGTGCAGGAGTCACTCTGCCCCTCCTCCCTGCCACCTGGTGAGTCCTCCTGTGTCTTGGCCCCTTGCTTGCAAGAAAAAGGGTGCCCGTGTCTATCCTCTGCTGCATTTGTAAATGAGAAAGTATATTTTAAACAGTATTATACCACCTCTCCCTCTTGTCTCTTAGAGGGTGTGGAAGGGGATCGGCATCCTTCAGGGGCCTTTCTAGACACTGGAAGAGGCCCCAGACCCAGAGGGTGTCTGGCCGAGGGCAGGTGACCCTGCACATGTCATCCTCTGCCCGAAAGCCATTAGATTCCTCCAGGCGTGCAGATGGACCCCCCTTGCCTGATGAGCTTGATGAGTGGCCCTTGGTCTCCAATTCAAAGGACCGAGAGACCCACCACCTCTGTCTATCCCCTCCCCAAGCCTCTGCCAGCCTCTGGCTGCACGGCCAGGCCCTGCCTCATAGCAGGCCTACCAGAGCTTGGCTGAGGGCCCATGCCACCTCTGGCTCCCTGACAGCTGGATATAGTTTGCATCTTCTGGCCCCTTCAGGAGCCCAGGTTCACTGTAAGGAATGAATTGGTCACTGCATCCTTTATGGTTATGGTTCTGAGAAAAGCAAATATCATTTTTGGCTGCATTAAAAGAAGCATCATGTATAAAATAAAGGAGGTGAAGGTCTACTCTTTATTGCCCTGCTACATACAAGAATGAGGTGTTTGGTTCTGGGCAGGGAGAGAGGAGCCCCCTTCAAGGTCAGTGGAGGAGGCATGTCCTAAAGAGGTTGAGGAGGCCTCTAGGGGTGAAGGAAGCAGCTGGCTGGCATTGGGGCCCCAGGAGGGAGGTGGATTTGGGCTCGACTGTGGAAAGACTCCAGAAACACATGAGGCTGTTTGAGGGAGTTGAGAATGCCCTTCTGTTGCAGTGGAAGTGAGAATGCAGGTATGGAAGACCACAGTGGGAGTGGGGTGTCAATGGGTGTTAGTCCTACAGGGGATCTGACATCAGGCATGGGGCTAGGGCTTCCTACAGGTTCAGTCACTGGCCTCAAGCACTTTTTCCCTCCTTTGCTGGTAGCCAGTTACCTGGAGGTTGCTGCTCCTCAGCCCAACTAGCCCCAGAAATCACCCCATCGCACCCTGGTTCTGTCCTGGAGTGTGAAGGGGCCTTAATCTGACCCTGCTCAGCCCTGCTGGCCTGGGACCACACCTTCCCGCCAGGACACACCTTCCTCCATACCAGAACAGGCCTTAGAAGCCCAGGATTTAAGTCACATCGGACTTTGCAGCATCTTCCCATGGACCAAAGCATGGTGCTCAGCATTCCTGAGACCTCAGACACTTTGAGAATTGCATGAATCCCTGGAAGATGCATATATGTGCAACACTGGTGCAACAGGGAGCAGCTGAGGTTCTCGGGGCCTCTGCTACCCCAAGGGGAGTAGCTGCACCTGAGTCTCCCAGGGATGCGGAAAGGGGGAGAGGGGCCAATCCTGAGCCCCCATGCTGCTGGGGCAAAGTAGGTGGGTGGCCATGGGCCCTGGTCCTTGTCTGGCTTTTCTTTTTGAAGCTGGGCGCAGCATGCTGACTGGGACCATCTGCTTTAACCAGGGCTATAGTTATGGGAGGTTGTGTGAAATGAAATAATGTAAGCGTTTTGATGAAAACTGGTTAGTTTCATAACAGTCCTTTATAAGCAGAAACTAAATCCTTCATGTGTTGGGGGGAAGGTGTGTGAATACCACGTGTGCTCATCTGCAGTATCCAGGAGGGTAAATCCGTGTAGTATAAGATTAAGTTTTAGCTGGAATAAGAATAGTAAGCAGCCCAGGGAAACCAAGGAAGCACAGACACTTGCTGGAAAGAGTGGAAGGTGGGGGAAGGGCTCCCCTTTCGCTAGCACCCACTCAGGGCTCTCCCATTGGCTCAAGGTGTGCAGACAGCCCCTCCCCCGGGCCGCTGGTCTCCCCTCCAGAGGGCCCTTGGGGGTGGGGCCAGATGCAGTTCTGGCTTCTAACCTGCTGTGCTCAGGTTAGAAGCCACTGTTTCAAATCTCTGAATTATAAAAGCTAGTTTTCCTGGGAAATGTGAAAGACATAAGGCAGGACCAATGACGGTGTGCCTGGGCCAGCGAGGGCAAGGAGGGGGCGAGCTGGGTGGTCCCTCACCCCTGACTCGGCCCCCTCGCTTGCAGGGTGGAAAAGCTTGAAAAGGCTGTTTTCTTTCTCGGAACCAACACTGTCCTGCTCCGGAATGCCGGCTCCTCCTGAGACTCGCGAAGCACGCATTACTTGCAGCTCAACAGGCCACCTGGGCGTGCGGGTTTGGGGTGCGGGGGCATGGCCAACAGCACCCAGGCTTCACCCCTCGGCTCCGCCCGCTGCTGTGGCTTCCTGGGGAAGAGGGGGCCCAGGGGCCCTGGGGTGCGGCCTGGGGTTCCGATCCCACAAGTGGGGCCCCCGATGCCCAAGTGAGAAGACTCGCCACCAGCAATAACCCAGTCCCTCGTAGGACGCCCGACGGCCGCCTCCCTGCGACCCCCGCCCCTGCCGTCTCCCAGTCGCGAAGCAAGAAGTAGGGCGGCGGGCCGGTCAGGCTCGATCTGCCCCTCCTGCTCCTGCGGCCCCCGCTAGTCGGCAGCTAGTAGCCCTCTGGCCTGGGCGGACGGGTGGGAAGGGGACGGGCCCCGGACAGTTCGGGGACCAGGGCCGCGGGGCGGAGGCCGGGACGCGGCTCTGAGGTCCAGCCCGGCCCGGTCTTCCGCCCCCCACCGAGCGGCGGCCCCGGCGCCCCTACACACTCACGCGCGGACACACGGGGCGCACACCGCGGGTGCAGCCGGGTCGCGCCGCGGTGGGGGCGCGGCCCCTTTATTCTCTTCAGGAGGCGGAAAACTTCCTCAGCGCAACGACCACGAGCGCCAGCACCACACAGGTGGCCAGCAGGGCGGCGATGACGATGGCCGCGATGGCCCCGGGCCCCAGCGAGCCTGCGGAGACCAGAGGAGCGCGTGAGCCCCGGGCCGACCCGCCCGCCTGCCCCGCCCCCTGCCCCCCGCCGCGCCCCGTACCGCCGCCCTGGTCCAGACGCTCCTGCGCGGTGCTGTCCTCGGGGCTCTGCGCGCTGGTGGCGGCGGGGGGACCGGTGGCCGCGGGCTCCCTGCCGGGGCTGGTGTCCTCCGCGGGACCTTCTCCGGACGGCAGCTCAGCGGGCTCGTTCCACAGGGTGGGCACGGGCTCCTGTGGGCCCTCGGCTGAAAGGCCAAGGACGGGCGCTGGGGCCCAGGCAGCAGGACCCACAGGGCCATCTACCCCCCAAGTTGATCAGCTGGGGATGTCGCTCTCTGTGCGGGGCTCTGGGCCTCAGCACTCCACAGCCCTCCCATTTCACCGGAGAGGCAGCGGAGGCTGAGAAGCCTGTGGCTCCAGAGCCCCTGCCAGGCCAGGCTGCCTCCATGCCCAAGTGGCACATTGACGGGGGGAGGGGCGAGTAACGGGACCAGCAGGCCCTGTTAGAAAACAGCTATGAGGCCCCTGAGCTGGCAGTAGGGCTTCAGGACAGCAGGGTCAGGGGACCAGGGCAGGGCACCTTGTCTCAGCAGAGCCTGGAGCCCCCTGACTGAACTCCCGGGCTTTGTAATCCTGGGGGAGGTGACACTTATGAGGAACATCCTCACCCAACAAAGAGACAAGGAAGGTGCCAAGCCTGATGCAGGGGGTGGTGAGCAGAGGCCCACCCCACACCCAATGGGCAGTCAGCCTGGCTTCCCCTTGACCCCAACCTGGGCAGAGCAGTGCAGCCCATATGATGTGGGGTCCATTGACCACACAACACACCCATGTGTTTGAGGCTTGAAGAGCCTGTGATGCCAGCACATGCTGCCTCCAGACAGAATAGGACCAGAGGGGTGGGCAGTGTAAGAGAAGCCCTAAGAAAGGGTGGGTACCTCCCTTCCCCCTGCACAAGCTGGGGCTCCATCAGAACATCAGACCCTGGGCAGCCTTTTCTGTAGGAGCCTTTCTCTGCTCATAGGTTGGGGTTAGAGTTGGGGGTACACAGGAGCCCCAGAGAATAGGAGGGGCAGGCTGAGTGGCCTATATAACTTCAGCACCATATCCCCACCTTGACCCCAGCCATCCCGTGCCAGTTTTGCACCCCACTTCTTAAGGATCCTGGCCTGAGGAACCCCACAGGAGCACCCCAGCCCTGGGCCCTCCATCCTTCCCAGACAGAAGGCCTTAGTCACCCAAAAAGCTCAAGGCTGTATAGCAAGCAGGCCCCAGGCCTCCCGCAGCCCTGTCGGCTTTAGCAGGGTCAGAGCTTGCCAGAGCCTCATCACGGTTGTGATCCAGGGATGCTCAACCCCAAGTATTCCCTAGAATGAGCTTAGTGGGCGTCATGACACACCATTTCGTTGACTCCAGCTGCTCTGTGGCTAGGAACTATTGTATCCCTGCTTCAGAGTTGGCAAAACCAACCGAGGTTTAGATGGGCTGGGGTCTGAAGCCCCTGGACAACAGTAGTGGGTTGCACTTTCTAAGAAACTGTCAGGCAAGCTGTGGCTGTTCCTGCAGTCCAGGGCCCACTGGCCTGCAGGTCCCTGAGGCACCTTTGCTCCTGCAGGCTCCCCACCAGAGAACTGCTGCGGGCCCAGCAAGCTAGCCCCATCCTGCTCTCAGGCTCCCGGGCTCTGGAGAGGGGATGCTCTGGGAAGACACAAAGGTACTTTGAGCTTTTCTGCCAACAGTGCCCCCTGGAGCAAATCATGAGAAAACATCAGCCAAACCCAAGGCCGGGTCAGTCTTAAAAAACTGCCCATTCAGAAAAACTTAAGGTCGTGGAAGACAGCGGAGGTTGAGGATTAGAGCTGAGATGTGATAACCAAGTGCAGTGTGTCCTGGCGGGGGCGTGACAGGGTCTAAGGTGAGATACGAAGAAGGCTGCAGCTACAGGACAGTCCTGTGTCTGTTCGTGTCCTGATTTGGACACTGGGTTGTATAAGAGAGTATCCCTGCTCTTAGGAGTATTTAGGGTCAAAGGAACTTGACGTCTTGGTTCAGCATTCAGATGGATAGATAGAGACAGGAAGACAGAGAAGACAGTAAACAGGACAAAAATGTTGGTCACTGGTGAATCTAAGTGAAGAATCTACTAGAGTTCATTGGATTATTCTTGCAACTTTTCTGTAAACTTAGAATCTCTTCACAATAAAATTGCAGCTTGCAGGCAGGGACCACTGTCACTCTCTTCTAGGCTTTTCCAGTTAGCGCCCCCTTTCGGAAAACACCCCTGGCAAAGAAGCCCCCGGGGGCAAAAAGCCCCTGGCACCCAGGGCAGGGGAAGCGTCCCTCTCACAGGGCCCAAGGCTGAACTGCAGTTCTGGGATCTGGGGCCACCACCTGTTAAGACCACCCTGTGAGGAGGGGGAAGTGACCCTCTCAGGTCTCCCTTATCACAGCTGGTAGCCAGTTACCTGGAGGTTGCTGCTCCTCAGCCCAACTAGCCCCAGAAATCACCCCATCGCACCCTGGTTCTGTCCTGGAGTGTGAAGGGGCCTTAATCTGACCCTGCTCAGCCCTGCTGGCCTGGGACCACACCTTCCCGCCAGGACACACCTTCCTCCATACCAGAACAGGCCTTAGAAGCCCAGGATTTAAGTCACATCGGACTTTGCAGCATCTTCCCATGGACCAAAGCATGGTGCTCAGCATTCCTGAGACCTCAGACACTTTGAGAATTGTATGAATCCCTGGAAGATGCATATATGTGCAACACTGGTGCAACAGGGAGCAGCTGAGGTTCTCGGGGCCTCTGCTACCCCAAGGGGAGTAGCTGCACCTGAGTCTCCCAGGGATGCGGAAAGGGGGAGAGGGGCCAATCCTGAGCCCCCATGCTGCTGGGGCAAAGTAGGTGGGTGGCCATGGGCCCTGGTCCTTGTCTGGCTTTTCTTTTTGAAGCTGGGCGCAGCATGCTGACTGGGACCATCTGCTTTAACCAGGGCTATAGTTATGGGAGGTTGTGTGAAATGAAATAATGTAAGCGTTTTGATGAAAACTGGTTAGTTTCATAACAGTCCTTTATAAGCAGAAACTAAATCCTTCATGTGTTGGGGGGAAGGTGTGTGAATACCACGTGTGCTCATCTGCAGTATCCAGGAGGGTAAATCCGTGTAGTATAAGATTAAGTTTTAGCTGGAATAAGAATAGTAAGCAGCCCAGGGAAACCAAGGAAGCACAGACACTTGCTGGAAAGAGTGGAAGGTGGGGGAAGGGCTCCCCTTTCGCTAGCACCCACTCAGGGCTCTCCCATTGGCTCAAGGTGTGCAGACAGCCCCTCCCCCGGGCCGCTGGTCTCCCCTCCAGAGGGCCCTTGGGGGTGGGGCCAGATGCAGTTCTGGCTTCTAACCTGCTGTGCTCAGGTTAGAAGCCACTGTTTCAAATCTCTGAATTATAAAAGCTAGTTTTCCTGGGAAATGTGAAAGACATAAGGCAGGACCAATGACGGTGTGCCTGGGCCAGCGAGGGCAAGGAGGGGGCGAGCTGGGTGGTCCCTCACCCCTGACTCGGCCCCCTCGCTTGCAGGGTGGAAAAGCTTGAAAAGGCTGTTTTCTTTCTCGGAACCAACACTGTCCTGCTCCGGAATGCCGGCTCCTCCTGAGACTCGCGAAGCACGCATTACTTGCAGCTCAACAGGCCACCTGGGCGTGCGGGTTTGGGGTGCGGGGGCATGGCCAACAGCACCCAGGCTTCACCCCTCGGCTCCGCCCGCTGCTGTGGCTTCCTGGGGAAGAGGGGGCCCAGGGGCCCTGGGGTGCGGCCTGGGGTTCCGATCCCACAAGTGGGGCCCCCGATGCCCAAGTGAGAAGACTCGCCACCAGCAATAACCCAGTCCCTCGTAGGACGCCCGACGGCCGCCTCCCTGCGACCCCCGCCCCTGCCGTCTCCCAGTCGCGAAGCAAGAAGTAGGGCGGCGGGCCGGTCAGGCTCGATCTGCCCCTCCTGCTCCTGCGGCCCCCGCTAGTCGGCAGCTAGTAGCCCTCTGGCCTGGGCGGACGGGTGGGAAGGGGACGGGCCCCGGACAGTTCGGGGACCAGGGCCGCGGGGCGGAGGCCGGGACGCGGCTCTGAGGTCCAGCCCGGCCCGGTCTTCCGCCCCCCACCGAGCGGCGGCCCCGGCGCCCCTACACACTCACGCGCGGACACACGGGGCGCACACCGCGGGTGCAGCCGGGTCGCGCCGCGGTGGGGGCGCGGCCCCTTTATTCTCTTCAGGAGGCGGAAAACTTCCTCAGCGCAACGACCACGAGCGCCAGCACCACACAGGTGGCCAGCAGGGCGGCGATGACGATGGCCGCGATGGCCCCGGGCCCCAGCGAGCCTGCGGAGACCAGAGGAGCGCGTGAGCCCCGGGCCGACCCGCCCGCCTGCCCCGCCCCCTGCCCCCCGCCGCGCCCCGTACCGCCGCCCTGGTCCAGACGCTCCTGCGCGGTGCTGTCCTCGGGGCTCTGCGCGCTGGTGGCGGCGGGGGGACCGGTGGCCGCGGGCTCCCTGCCGGGGCTGGTGTCCTCCGCGGGACCTTCTCCGGACGGCAGCTCAGCGGGCTCGTTCCACAGGGTGGGCACGGGCTCCTGTGGGCCCTCGGCTGAAAGGCCAAGGACGGGCGCTGGGGCCCAGGCAGCAGGACCCACAGGGCCATCTACCCCCCAAGTTGATCAGCTGGGGATGTCGCTCTCTGTGCGGGGCTCTGGGCCTCAGCACTCCACAGCCCTCCCATTTCACCGGAGAGGCAGCGGAGGCTGAGAAGCCTGTGGCTCCAGAGCCCCTGCCAGGCCAGGCTGCCTCCATGCCCAAGTGGCACATTGACGGGGGGAGGGGCGAGTAACGGGACCAGCAGGCCCTGTTAGAAAACAGCTATGAGGCCCCTGAGCTGGCAGTAGGGCTTCAGGACAGCAGGGTCAGGGGACCAGGGCAGGGCACCTTGTCTCAGCAGAGCCTGGAGCCCCCTGACTGAACTCCCGGGCTTTGTAATCCTGGGGGAGGTGACACTTATGAGGAACATCCTCACCCAACAAAGAGACAAGGAAGGTGCCAAGCCTGATGCAGGGGGTGGTGAGCAGAGGCCCACCCCACACCCAATGGGCAGTCAGCCTGGCTTCCCCTTGACCCCAACCTGGGCAGAGCAGTGCAGCCCATATGATGTGGGGTCCATTGACCACACAACACACCCATGTGTTTGAGGCTTGAAGAGCCTGTGATGCCAGCACATGCTGCCTCCAGACAGAATAGGACCAGAGGGGTGGGCAGTGTAAGAGAAGCCCTAAGAAAGGGTGGGTACCTCCCTTCCCCCTGCACAAGCTGGGGCTCCATCAGAACATCAGACCCTGGGCAGCCTTTTCTGTAGGAGCCTTTCTCTGCTCATAGGTTGGGGTTAGAGTTGGGGGTACACAGGAGCCCCAGAGAATAGGAGGGGCAGGCTGAGTGGCCTATATAACTTCAGCACCATATCCCCACCTTGACCCCAGCCATCCCGTGCCAGTTTTGCACCCCACTTCTTAAGGATCCTGGCCTGAGGAACCCCACAGGAGCACCCCAGCCCTGGGCCCTCCATCCTTCCCAGACAGAAGGCCTTAGTCACCCAAAAAGCTCAAGGCTGTATAGCAAGCAGGCCCCAGGCCTCCCGCAGCCCTGTCGGCTTTAGCAGGGTCAGAGCTTGCCAGAGCCTCATCACGGTTGTGATCCAGGGATGCTCAACCCCAAGTATTCCCTAGAATGAGCTTAGTGGGCGTCATGACACACCATTTCGTTGACTCCAGCTGCTCTGTGGCTAGGAACTATTGTATCCCTGCTTCAGAGTTGGCAAAACCAACCGAGGTTTAGATGGGCTGGGGTCTGAAGCCCCTGGACAACAGTAGTGGGTTGCACTTTCTAAGAAACTGTCAGGCAAGCTGTGGCTGTTCCTGCAGTCCAGGGCCCACTGGCCTGCAGGTCCCTGAGGCACCTTTGCTCCTGCAGGCTCCCCACCAGAGAACTGCTGCGGGCCCAGCAAGCTAGCCCCATCCTGCTCTCAGGCTCCCGGGCTCTGGAGAGGGGATGCTCTGGGAAGACACAAAGGTACTTTGAGCTTTTCTGCCAACAGTGCCCCCTGGAGCAAATCATGAGAAAACATCAGCCAAACCCAAGGCCGGGTCAGTCTTAAAAAACTGCCCATTCAGAAAAACTTAAGGTCGTGGAAGACAGCGGAGGTTGAGGATTAGAGCTGAGATGTGATAACCAAGTGCAGTGTGTCCTGGCGGGGGCGTGACAGGGTCTAAGGTGAGATACGAAGAAGGCTGCAGCTACAGGACAGTCCTGTGTCTGTTCGTGTCCTGATTTGGACACTGGGTTGTATAAGAGAGTATCCCTGCTCTTAGGAGTATTTAGGGTCAAAGGAACTTGACGTCTTGGTTCAGCATTCAGATGGATAGATAGAGACAGGAAGACAGAGAAGACAGTAAACAGGACAAAAATGTTGGTCACTGGTGAATCTAAGTGAAGAATCTACTAGAGTTCATTGGATTATTCTTGCAACTTTTCTGTAAACTTAGAATCTCTTCACAATAAAATTGCAGCTTGCAGGCAGGGACCAGTCACTCTCTTCTAGGCTTTTCCAGTTAGCGCCCCCTTTCGGAAAACACCCCTGGCAAAGAAGCCCCCGGGGGCAAAAAGCCCCTGGCACCCAGGGCAGGGGAAGCGTCCCTCTCACAGGGCCCAAGGCTGAACTGCAGTTCTGGGATCTGGGGCCACCACCTGTTAAGACCACCCTGTGAGGAGGGGGAAGTGACCCTCTCAGGTCTCCCTTATCACTGCCCTGGAGGGCAGGAGTCTTCAGCCGGGTAGCTGCCATGGAAGGCTCCAGATCCCAGGCATGTTTGCCTCTGGCTCCTGGAGTCTGGGCAGAAAAAGGGCCTGAGTGTTACCATTTGGCCTGAGGTCTAGAGTTTGAGCAAGACTGCCTGTCTCCCCAGATAAATGGACAAACCACCAGCCCCACTTGATTCCCACACACCCAAAACAGAGCAGCAGACAGGCACCTCCCTGTCCCACCACTGCTGGCCAAAGCTCACGTCTGACTGCTGGGCACCTGGCCAGGATGGCCACCACAGGGCTATTGGGTACCAGGCCCAGATGACCTGTGTGGCATCTGGGGAATCAGCCCTGAGCTCAGGAGGTGGAGTGATAGGCCTCACAGCCCTGGGAGAGCAGAGGCTCACTCCCTGGGGCTAGCCAGGCCCTGGTAAACAGCCACCCTCTGCCCTTTGCTGGAGCCCAGGAGCCATCTCTGGGGGAGAGAGGGCCCTCTGAGCAGGCAGCACACCCAGGCCCTCGCCCCTTCTGTCCCAGGTGATCCAGCCTCCCTCTGCTGCTCCCCACTGAAGCATGGATCCTCCTTTCCAGACACACCAGCCCAGGCCACCTTGTCCACGTGTACCCACTCCAATCTATCCTCTGACCCAATCAGTCCCTGAAGCTCAAGGGGCAGACCCTGTGGGCTTCCAAACCAAGAGGACCGATCCAAGTCCTGGGTCTGCCACACCCTCACCCTGGGACCCTGGCAGACTTTGCCAAGCCTGTTCCCCACTCCCACAACTTCACTTCCTGACCTGTGAATGGGGATTGGACCATGCCTCTCACAGCTCACAGCCCGCACGGGCTGGTAGCCATGCCAGGCAGCTGGCCATCACAGACCCTGAAGGCTGGTCCAGGGCTCCTCGGCACCCAAGGAGCTAGGGCCCCAGGGGCCAGCGAACTCCCGGCAAGCCCGGGCTGCTGTCCCTGCAGCACATGGGCCAGAACTGCAGCCTACACTCCACCCACAAGCTCTCCAGCAAAGGAAGGGTGCTGGGGAGGGGCCAGAGCATTTTGTTATCCTCATCTGCATGTCAGTGTATTTTCTCAATTTGCTGTAACAAGAGGAGAAAAGTTTCAAGGCAGTAACCCATCTCCCCCAAAAGCTCTCCTTCTGAGGAGCCATGAACAGTAATCAGGGAGTTTGTTAGCAGAAGGCCCTGCCTGAGGAGGGGTGAGAAGGGAAAGGAATGCCAGGCAGAGGGAGCAGCGAGAGCACAGCACGGGGGACGGAATCTCCAGGCACGGGAAGGGAGCTGTGGGCAGGCCACAGGGACACCAAGGAAGGATGGAGAAGGGGAGGACCCAGGAGTTCCTGCGATGAGACCCAGAGACCCAGACTCCAAGGACCACAGTAAGCCAGATCCTATGACTCCATGCTCGGGCGGAGGGAACCCCAAGTGGGAGGCCTTGTGATACCGCCACAGGCCTGGGCACTGCGGGCTCTCCCCCAGCCCCACTGCCCCTGGCTGCCCTGCCTTCCAGTAAATAGGTTTGTTTAATGCTCACTCTGAGCACAGAGCCCTGAGGCCAGGCGCCCATGCTCACAGACAGTCTTTGTATGGGCCATGAAGGGCCTTTTCATCCCTGCCCTGGCCTCCCGCCCGCTCAACCTGGCCTGCTCCCCCAATCCCAGTAGCTGCGGCCACAGGCAACCAGCTAGGAGGGCAGCGGGCTGGGCCTGGCCCTCAGCCACAGGGCCACTCCTTCCCAGCCTGCTTGTTACTGGACCTCAGCCCACCGAGCAGAGGACAGGGGGCCTGCCAAGCCTCGTACACATCTGCCCACACCTTCTAGCCCATGTGGGGTAGCCTAGAGCCTCCCCAACTCACTCCCTCCCAGAACAGCAGGAAGAATGACAGCCAGCCAGAACCCAAAACTCCAGGGTGGAATTGGCCTGGTTGCTTTTGGTGGGACACATGGAGAAAGGTGATGCCAGGTGAGGTCCCAGCAATGCCAAACACAAAGCGATCCTCAGGCATTCCCGTGGCTGTGGACAGCTCACCCACCCAGGCTGTGTATGCAGTCTGATCCAGGACCTCTGGCCAGCAGCCTCGGCTGGGAGGGCTGACTGCTCAGGGAGCACGAAACTGGACAGGAGGTCCCCAAGCGGCCCCCGAAACTGGGCAGGCAGGCGCCAGCACCTGTGCCTCCACCCACTGTAGCCACCGGGTCAGAGAAGTGTTTCACTGCGGGCAGGAGGGGTGTGAGGGAGCTGAAACGATCATAGTCTGGGCCATGGAGGATGCCACCCTACACCTCTGGTCACTTCCCAATTCCCAGGGCATCATCACACCAGGCCCCCAGCTTGCAGCTCGCACTTCTCCCACCAAAAGGGAGGCTAGGCACTCTCCCAGCCTTTGTGAGGAGGTGGTTCAGGGGACGTCTGTCTAGATCCCCCTAACATTTACTGAGTGTTACTAGAAGCTGGCCCACCCTGACAGCTCACGTGTCTGAATTTGGTAGGCCTATAGTCCCCTGCAAGGGAGGCACAAGCACTGTGGTTACCACCACTGTACAGATGAGGAGAGGCATAGAATGAGGGGCAGCCAGGAGAAAGAACCAGAAGCACAGCCAGGGCTTCCCAGGCGTGTGGAGAGCCTGCAGGCCCGTGGGCTCTGTCGGCGCCTGTCGGCTGTATGCACCTGAGCGCAGTGCTGTCCCACCCCACACCCCCATTGCTCTCCCTACGCCCATGCCCACTCCATCCACCTCGTGCATCGACACTCCCACAAAGCCCATGCTGCAGAGGGTCCCAGATCACCCCCCGGCCTGCAAGTCTCTCAAGTCCAGGGCCCCCAGAGGGGCCCTGAAACCTTCTCCTTTGGGCCACCCTGTGGCCAACAGAGATTGCTTTCTTCCAGGAGAAAGACCACCCATGACCTGTCCGTGCCATTTCTCTCTCAGACTTCAAAGCCAGCCTGGGCCAGCCCTGCCCAGTGCAGGGTCCCACTGTCATGCCTAGAACTGGGGCTGAAGTCCCAGGAGCCTGTCATTCCCAGCCTATTGGGACCCTTTCTTACCAGACCCCCGACTCAGCCATTTTGGCCTCAGTGCAGAGCCTAAGTCCAATAATCTCTCAGTTTTGCCGAGGGGTCTCTGGCTCTGTGCTCCCTCTGGAATTTCCCCCCAAGATTGGAATAGTACCTGGGTCTTCAGTCTTAAAGGACATTTTGGAAAATTAGCAGGGAAAGGATGCAGGGTTTGAAAAGCGTCTTCTGTCCAGGAGCCCAGCCTCTTGCCCTGGGCCTGGTGCCCCCTCCGGACTTCCAGATCTGGAAACCTTCAGATTTTAGGATGCTGGAGTAACCCCCATGTCCCCAGGTTGCAAACATCCCTGGTTCTGTTTCCCACTGCCCTACTCCTCCAGAAGCCATGGCTGACAGTCCCCAAGACACACAGCGCAGCTCCTGGCAGCCTGTCGCCATGCACACCCTGGAGCCCTCCACAGCATCACCCTGGATGGCCACACCATCTCCCGGGAAGGGCTTCCGCCCAGCAGGCATGGGGGAATCAAGCTCAGGGTGCTTCTTGCCCCTGGGAGGCTGGTGGTAGCAGAGCCCAGGAAGCACCCTTACCTGTGAGCACCGCAGGGGCCAGGACCCCAGAGAGGAGCAGCAGCGCCATGTGCAGGGCCAGACCAAGTGCCATCCTGGCCTGTGAGCGAGTGCAGCTGGCGAGCAGGATGCACCGAGGACTGAGCTGGCTAACTTCAGGGCAGCAGGATAGAAGTATCAAAGGGCTGGGAAGGGTTTTGATCAATGCAAACTCTGTCCTCCTGGGACACTGTACCCGCCCCTATACACACACACACACACACACACAGAGCCAAGCTCACAGAACAGACAACTTCCCTGCACTCCAGAGTAGCCCCACCCTTGGAGAGAGAAAGAGGAAATTGCTCCCTTTCCCTCCCTCCTCTGCTTCCCACCCCTCCCACCCCACCAACACACACACGTACTCCTGGGCCACTGGAAGCTTGAGATTCTCCAAATGTGCAGAAGATTCACCCAGGGAACCTGAAAACTGGAGATGCCCCAGTGCTGTCTCAGTGGGTTGTGAATGGGCCCAGGAATGTATTTTAGTGCCCTTGGCCCAAGCTCCAGAGACTTAGCCCTAGACAGTGACCACACCACCTGTGCTCACTTTGGGGCTCCACATGCCAGGCTGGCAGTGGGCGCTCAGCAGAGCTTGTAAGAAGCACTTTTAAAGTAGCTTCAATGCAAACCAACTGGCAGCTCTAGTGTCTTTCCAGAAAAGCTCATGTCATTAAATGCCACGTCCCTTCTTGCTCTCTAGTTATCTACCTTCTAGTTATCTAGGTTCCTGTGTGCTCATGACAAGTTTCCAGCCCGTCTGGCCCAGAACGTCAGCTTCACCATCCACGCCTCCCCTACATCGCCATGGGTATCTGAGGAGCATCTTCAACATGTCCAAAACAAACCTTGACTCCACTGCCTCCCCAGTCCTGCTCAGTTAATGGAATTCCAGCCCCCCATGGTCCAGATGTCCCAGCCACACAGTTATGTCTTCCAAGGTCTCTTTCTCTTACTCTCTACACCTACTTTCAGAAAGTAATGCCAATGCACACTTCACACTGTTCGTGGGGTCCCAAGGCCCTTCAAAAAGCCAACCTCAGGGCTTGTCTTGGCCCTGCTCACCTCCCCTACCTTGCTCATAATGGTGCAGTCCACTGGCTTTGACTAGATTTCTCCAACACACCAAACATTTTCCTGCTGGAGGACCTTTGCGTTTGCTGTCACCTCTCCCAGAAAGCAGTCCCTCAACTCATTACATGGCTGTACCATATACACACAGGTCTTAAATGTCATCAGTGAGCACCCCCACCTACCCATCCCATTACTTTTATTAGCATTTCTATGTATATGAAATTCTCTTGCTTTACCTTTTTGGGGGAGGGTTAATTTTTTCAGGAATAACATACATGCTGTGAAGTGCACAAATCTTATGTTTACAGCTTGAACTTTTACACATGTATGCACCTATGGAACACCACCTAAATCACACAGAACATTTCCAGATTTCCCCACTCCTCCCCAGTCAGTAGCCCCAAGGGTAATTCTGTCTTCTATCATTGTAGACTAGTTTTGTTTACTCTTGAACCTCAAATAAACAGAACAGTATATGAACTCTTGTGTCTGGCTTCTTTTGTTCAACAGTGAGATTCATCCACATTGTTGCACAGTATTCAAGTGGATGAATATGTCACTATTCACTCCTTTATCCATTTTGTCCATTTATGTCCATTCGGGTTATTTCCAAGAGTACAGCTATGAATATTCTTGTACGTGTCTTGGCAAGTCTATACATGAATTTCTCTCAATTACATATCTAAAATAGATTTGCTAGCTTGGTATGTATAGTGTTTACAACCTACAGATGCTGCCAAGCAGTGTTCCAAAGTGTCAGTTCCAATGTGTAGTCTCATCAGCAGGATGAGAGTTCCAGTTGCTCCACATCCTCACCAAGACCTGGCACTGCCAGTCATTTTATTTCTCTTTGGTCTGATAGTATGTGTGTCTCACTGTGGTTGCTGTTCCATGACTAATACAGTTCAGCACTTTTTCACATTTATTGACCAGAGGAATATCCTCTTTTGTTAACAGTCTGCTCAATTTTCTTCTGCTTACTATTAGGGGGGTCTATCTTCTTACACTTATTTTTAGGAGTTTTTTTTTGTGCATCCAGATGAAAGTGCTTTTTCAAATATATGTATTTAGCCTTTAGACGAAGTGTTCACTGGTTGTCTGTCCCCATCCTGTGATTGTTAAGTCTCAGGACAGCAGAGATGGTGTTTTGTTCACCAATGCATTCCCAGAAACTAGTGCCGCCACACCAAGCATGCATAGGAACTTAATAAATATTTGGATTCAATCAGCTGGGATTGCTAAGATTTAACATTGAGCATCTCACATGTTCGTTCCTTTGTTTCCTCTGTCTGCCATCCTCGCCTTTCTGCACTCTGCAATTACTTACTCAGGAGTAAGCTTCCCTTCCCTTATTGTTCCCTCAGTTCTCTAGACATCCTTATACAAATTCCTGTACTACATCTCTCCCATTTTAAAGTCTTAGAGTGAACTGCTTCCAAGTCAGATCCTGGCCAAGTTGAGTTTGTCACCTGGAATGGTCCAGAGAAACAGGCCCTCAAAGTTGTGTTTCTGAGTTTGGTTTGCTACCATTTGGATGCAGGGAAGACCCCACTGCCTGTGGGAAATGAGATCTGGTTACAGCACACCACATGTTAAGACTTGTGGCTGTTCAGCATCAAGTACCTATTGAAGACAGGGCTTAAAGGACCAAACAGATGCTGAACTTGACATTTATAACAGAGATGAACTGGCTACTTTACACTGCACTGGGTGCTCACAAAGCGCAGCTCCTGGCAGCCTGTCGCCATGCACACCCTGGAGCCCTCCACAGCATCACCCTGGATGGCCACACCATCTCCCGGGAAGGGCTTCCGCCCAGCAGGCATGGGGGAATCAAGCTCAGGGTGCTTCTTGCCCCTGGGAGGCTGGTGGTAGCAGAGCCCAGGAAGCACCCTTACCTGTGAGCACCGCAGGGGCCAGGACCCCAGAGAGGAGCAGCAGCGCCATGTGCAGGGCCAGACCAAGTGCCATCCTGGCCTGTGAGCGAGTGCAGCTGGCGAGCAGGATGCACCGAGGACTGAGCTGGCTAACTTCAGGGCAGCAGGATAGAAGTATCAAAGGGCTGGGAAGGGTTTTGATCAATGCAAACTCTGTCCTCCTGGGACACTGTACCCGCCCCTATACACACACACACACACACACACAGAGCCAAGCTCACAGAACAGACAACTTCCCTGCACTCCAGAGTAGCCCCACCCTTGGAGAGAGAAAGAGGAAATTGCTCCCTTTCCCTCCCTCCTCTGCTTCCCACCCCTCCCACCCCACCAACACACACACGTACTCCTGGGCCACTGGAAGCTTGAGATTCTCCAAATGTGCAGAAGATTCACCCAGGGAACCTGAAAACTGGAGATGCCCCAGTGCTGTCTCAGTGGGTTGTGAATGGGCCCAGGAATGTATTTTAGTGCCCTTGGCCCAAGCTCCAGAGACTTAGCCCTAGACAGTGACCACACCACCTGTGCTCACTTTGGGGCTCCACATGCCAGGCTGGCAGTGGGCGCTCAGCAGAGCTTGTAAGAAGCACTTTTAAAGTAGCTTCAATGCAAACCAACTGGCAGCTCTAGTGTCTTTCCAGAAAAGCTCATGTCATTAAATGCCACGTCCCTTCTTGCTCTCTAGTTATCTACCTTCTAGTTATCTAGGTTCCTGTGTGCTCATGACAAGTTTCCAGCCCGTCTGGCCCAGAACGTCAGCTTCACCATCCACGCCTCCCCTACATCGCCATGGGTATCTGAGGAGCATCTTCAACATGTCCAAAACAAACCTTGACTCCACTGCCTCCCCAGTCCTGCTCAGTTAATGGAATTCCAGCCCCCCATGGTCCAGATGTCCCAGCCACACAGTTATGTCTTCCAAGGTCTCTTTCTCTTACTCTCTACACCTACTTTCAGAAAGTAATGCCAATGCACACTTCACACTGTTCGTGGGGTCCCAAGGCCCTTCAAAAAGCCAACCTCAGGGCTTGTCTTGGCCCTGCTCACCTCCCCTACCTTGCTCATAATGGTGCAGTCCACTGGCTTTGACTAGATTTCTCCAACACACCAAACATTTTCCTGCTGGAGGACCTTTGCGTTTGCTGTCACCTCTCCCAGAAAGCAGTCCCTCAACTCATTACATGGCTGTACCATATACACACAGGTCTTAAATGTCATCAGTGAGCACCCCCACCTACCCATCCCATTACTTTTATTAGCATTTCTATGTATATGAAATTCTCTTGCTTTACCTTTTTGGGGGAGGGTTAATTTTTTCAGGAATAACATACATGCTGTGAAGTGCACAAATCTTATGTTTACAGCTTGAACTTTTACACATGTATGCACCTATGGAACACCACCTAAATCACACAGAACATTTCCAGATTTCCCCACTCCTCCCCAGTCAGTAGCCCCAAGGGTAATTCTGTCTTCTATCATTGTAGACTAGTTTTGTTTACTCTTGAACCTCAAATAAACAGAACAGTATATGAACTCTTGTGTCTGGCTTCTTTTGTTCAACAGTGAGATTCATCCACATTGTTGCACAGTATTCAAGTGGATGAATATGTCACTATTCACTCCTTTATCCATTTTGTCCATTTATGTCCATTCGGGTTATTTCCAAGAGTACAGCTATGAATATTCTTGTACGTGTCTTGGCAAGTCTATACATGAATTTCTCTCAATTACATATCTAAAATAGATTTGCTAGCTTGGTATGTATAGTGTTTACAACCTACAGATGCTGCCAAGCAGTGTTCCAAAGTGTCAGTTCCAATGTGTAGTCTCATCAGCAGGATGAGAGTTCCAGTTGCTCCACATCCTCACCAAGACCTGGCACTGCCAGTCATTTTATTTCTCTTTGGTCTGATAGTATGTGTGTCTCACTGTGGTTGCTGTTCCATGACTAATACAGTTCAGCACTTTTTCACATTTATTGACCAGAGGAATATCCTCTTTTGTTAACAGTCTGCTCAATTTTCTTCTGCTTACTATTAGGGGGGTCTATCTTCTTACACTTATTTTTAGGAGTTTTTTTTTGTGCATCCAGATGAAAGTGCTTTTTCAAATATATGTATTTAGCCTTTAGACGAAGTGTTCACTGGTTGTCTGTCCCCATCCTGTGATTGTTAAGTCTCAGGACAGCAGAGATGGTGTTTTGTTCACCAATGCATTCCCAGAAACTAGTGCCGCCACACCAAGCATGCATAGGAACTTAATAAATATTTGGATTCAATCAGCTGGGATTGCTAAGATTTAACATTGAGCATCTCACATGTTCGTTCCTTTGTTTCCTCTGTCTGCCATCCTCGCCTTTCTGCACTCTGCAATTACTTACTCAGGAGTAAGCTTCCCTTCCCTTATTGTTCCCTCAGTTCTCTAGACATCCTTATACAAATTCCTGTACTACATCTCTCCCATTTTAAAGTCTTAGAGTGAACTGCTTCCAAGTCAGATCCTGGCCAAGTTGAGTTTGTCACCTGGAATGGTCCAGAGAAACAGGCCCTCAAAGTTGTGTTTCTGAGTTTGGTTTGCTACCATTTGGATGCAGGGAAGACCCCACTGCCTGTGGGAAATGAGATCTGGTTACAGCACACCACATGTTAAGACTTGTGGCTGTTCAGCATCAAGTACCTATTGAAGACAGGGCTTAAAGGACCAAACAGATGCTGAACTTGACATTTATAACAGAGATGAACTGGCTACTTTACACTGCACTGGGTGCTCACAGAAAATGAAAGTTCAGGGCTTTAAATGTAAAGGTCATATAATCAGAAACTAAAGCACTTGTATGGCAGTCTAAAAAAAACCTCATGTCTTGTAGATACAGGGCATAACTGACTGCAAAGTGGGTTTGCAGAATTACAATCTTAAACTGAATTCACAGCCATGATAATTCTCTTAGCTGAAACTTACAGCACCAATTGGGAATGCTTGAGACCTTGAGGTTTGGAATGCGGCATTTGCGTAGACTCAAACAAATCTGAGACTCTCTCACTCACAAATCCTCAGGTCTCCCTTGCAGAAGGAGACTCCTTAAAGAAGTGGCTAATTCCAAATCTGGGAAAGGAGTAGTAGATGGTGACCCTAGAATCTCTCATGCCAAAGTAAGAAGGTATCAAAGAATGATGGGGCTATGGCAAGAAGACACAGAAGCAAACTTGAAGGGGCTCCAAACGGGCAACTTGTGCCTGGAAAACATCCTATTATAACCTATAGTGGCTACAGTGTGTGTGTTTGTGTGTGTGTAAAGCTCTTCCTTTACAGTGGAATGCTAACAAATGTAAAAGGGAAGCTTGACAAGTGTTAATTGTTAAAGTAAGAATTATCGATGGCTGCTAAAACTAATGGATTGAACTTTGAGGAGAAACTGAATATTTACACAGTCTCAAAGTATCTCCCATAAAGAGAATATCATGACGATTCTCAAGATGGCAGCATGAGTAGGGTGGTGGAAATCTCCAAAAACCACAT